GGAAATGCATGGTTTTCATCAGACAGACATAGTAGGAAAGATTCCACAGTCTTTGAAGAGAAGTTCACAGTGCTCCCTTGTCCTTCAGGCATGATCTTTGTGACAATATTCAGATTTAGAAGAGGATCTATCCATTTTCTGTTCTGTGACCCATCCATAAGAGTCAGCTACCGGCAAGATGAGGTGACATTGCATGGCATGCTACATTAACTGAAGAATAGGAGTGGGCGGAGCTGGCATACGGGTGAGCAAATCGCGGAGGACTTGATGACTACCAAAAGGACAATTCTCAGGTGATGATGATAAGTGCCTGTCAGAGATAACTTAAGAGCAGTCCCCGCGTTCCACATGAGGGAGAGGATGCGTCAGCCATGGGGGGAGGGGAGGGCAGGGATCAGGAGAAGGTTATGATCCGTGAAAGGATTTTAAAGGTGATAAAAATTCGCTGAAGGCGAAGGAGATCCAGTCTGCGTCAGGGAGGTGAAAAACACAGCCAGAGGGCGGGTGTCGGGAAAACTGATGGGCGCCCGCGTCTGCCAGAGAACTAATTACGCCAAGACGGACAGGAGTGTAATCACCGCCTGCCAAGATCGGGTTTAAATTAGCTACTCCTCAAGTTTTTGACTTGTCAGAAATGTTTTTGACAGAAATGTCTTCCCAAGTTAGGGTTTAATAAGTGTATTTGAAGGCAGTGGGTAGGAATCCCTATTATAATTAAAGTATGTTTTATTTACTTTATCCCTCTATTAAAATAATATTTGTAGACAGAGTTTTGGATGCAGCATCTTAAACATTGTAAGGACAGCACATACACCCCCATATATATAACAACCAACCAGATCCTGTACGTGTCGTATTCCAAAAACAAACAAAAAATACTGTGGCAGATATTTGTATTTAGCATTGTTTTTTTTAGCTTAACGGTACATCCGTCTTCCATGGTGGGAAAAAAAAAATAGCCAAGGCCCGGCAGAGGAAAACAAGCACATCGAGGGCTGATCGAAGCCTGTAACTCTGACACATTAGCTGTTAGCGAAAGATGCGGTCATCATAACTCCACAGAGTGACCTGAGATTTCCATTTGCTCTCTTCTGGCAGACATTGGTACATCCATTAGCTTTCATCCTCACTCTATCTCCGTAGGAGGATGGTGGTCAGGCTGCCAAGACAGCATCTGACATGGAGCCACAAACTCCCAGTTGTTTGCTTGCTTTGAACTTTGAGATAGAAGAAGAAGAATAGAAGATAACAAAGTAGGGGTTCTGCTTGGCTCTGTGTTTGGGCCCATTCCCCTTTTTCCTGCAGACTACAGGTGAAGTCTTATGAGAATGAGTGCATTGTTAAACCGTGTTCCATGGATATTTTTGTGTAGTGTGGAATTATGCAATCAGTTCTATATCCTGCCATTGGTGGTGTTTTGCTCCAGTCTGACCTCACACTATTAACATGTCCTCCTGCAAAACTCAGCAGCTACTTTTTTTATATCTCAATGCTGACACCTTGTTGTTTTCATCTCCGCGAGGCACCGAGCCCAGTGGTCAGTGCCGAGCGAAGCCCGGCAGACGATTAGGGAGACGGTGAGGCAGAGCGTAAACGAGAGAGCTAGGATGGCCATTAAGCAATTAGGGGCAGAAACTGGATCCACTGAAAGCTTTTTCCCAGAGTCCAATGGGAGGCATTGAAGTGAGAAAGGGTTGGGTCCTGAGTGGCCGTTCGGCTCTTTAGCATCGGCGAGGGTTGGAGGAGCTGATGAATGGCTGCACATATTGGGAATCCCTCCAGACCTCCAGGCCCAGTGCCAACCTGTTTACACCCGTCAGTGCCTGTATTTGTTACCACACAGGACTGAACTATTCACTTGGAAGTCGTCTCTGCCTCGCTTCTTTCCAGGTAGCCGTAGTTACCTGCTAAACGCTACTCGCCGTGCCTTGTTCGGGGCACGCGTTTTTAGTAAGCTCGGAGACTCCGATAAAGCTCTGCGTGGCTCTCTCTCTCCTTTCCCTCCACCACTTTCTGAAGAGGAGGTAGGTGCCATCACACAAAATTTAGGCCTCTGTGCCGGGAGGATATTTTAAAATTTTTAAATCAGTGTTTTTTTTTTTTTAGAGATAAGAAGGTCCCAGCCTCAGTGGCAATGGTAGCTATAAATACTAGTAATAAACTGACAGCACAGCTGCCTGTCAATTCAGTCAGTCATCAAAGCATCATTATGTATTCTTTTCTCAGTCGGTGTGTGTCCTGTAAGGTTTAGTGCTTTTTCTTTCACACGTGTCATGTAATTATTTACACAGCACTGCTCCATATCTAATATGCTCCATGGTCTTGTTTAACAAGTCTAGCCGTTCTATTGTCATTTTCAGGCCTGGTATTTGTAACTGAGATTCTCTTCATTGTGTTGTTTCTCAAAGGAAGAAACATGTGCCCCCAATCTCCCTCGCAAACCCCCCCTACTCTTGTATTTCCATGGGGGGGGGGGGGCTGTCAGGCCTGAGAAGAGCATGAGGGCTGCTACACACACACACGTCTCCTTGCATAACCTCCCCCTCCTCCACAGTTTTGGTCACGTTGACCCCCCCCCCACCCCAACTCCCCCTTGGTCTCTCAGTCCTGACTCATTCCTGCTCCCAGTTAATCACTCCTGACTCATGCCAGTAGCAGGGATGTCTGTGCATGTGTTGAGGGGAAGGGGCGGGAGAAATAGTGGGGTGGGGGGGGGGGGGGGACATGGATGTAATGGCCATGTGAAGGTGTTCTGGGGTATTCCATGAGAAGTGGCGACCCAGGGGAAGCCTTCAGCAGCTGGAGATCTCTGGGGCTTTTCAGACATCTGCCCTCTACGACCTTCATGGGCTGAGAGCTCACCAGGCTGAAATCTCGCTCCTCGTTTCCGGAGAGCCAGAGCGCTGCTGGGCCCTGGCATCATTTCATTATTATTATCTCATTTTTTATCATTTTGCCAATTAGCAAATACCTTTATCTAACGGTAAGGGTCCCTAGTGGAGATGCTACGGAATTTCGATCCTACGCGCTGTCCCCTAAACAGAAGCGAAGGGGACAAAGCTGGTCCATCTACCGTCTTTGCAAGGGGCTCCTTGGCGGAATCTGATTCGTTGACGTGAAATTAAAATCTGAAACAAAGCGGATTGTCTCTTTCCCCCCCCCGGCTTCTTTTTAACAGCCTTCAAGTCCGGCCAGGAAGTGATCAGGGCGTCTCTTCTGGCAGACAGAGCGATATACTGTGCATCTGTCTAATAGGCATTTATACCAGGGGCGGTTTACAATTTTCCTGGCCTGTCTCCAGTGCTGTAGCCCCCCTGCAGGCCTCCTGTAGTCAATCTAACACTGTGTTTTATGATCTGGCTCTTGCACTCTGCTGGGTTTTTCCACTGATTAAATCTCGGCTCAAAACCACTGTCCGTTTAACCGACGAAACAGACTGAAAAGATCCGATTAAGCTGCTTCATTAAATTATGACATATGAAGCACCATATAACACGCAGGTCAGTATATATGGGTGTTTTTTTTTCTTCAAAGCACAGACCGTAATATAACATCTGCTGAAGGCTAGAATCTCCTGTATTGCTCATTAATACATTTGTCCTGGGTTCTGCGACAGGGTGCATCCATCCTTCCATCCATCCATCTGTCTTCCGTAACCGCTTGTTAGGATTATGGTGATGCTGGAGCTCATCCCAGGACACGCAGGATACAAGACAGGGGATGCCCTGGACTGAATGCCAGTCCATCCCAGGGCAACGCACTCACACACACAATATCTCGCTATGGGCAGTTTTTCTTTTGGGCCACGGTAACGTACCGGATTATCGGCGGGAATCCCGCACCGGCGCCCTAGAAGCGAGGCGTTAAGGTGATTCCCACTGAGCCGCCGTAAGCGTGTGCACTTATAAGAACAGCTGCCTGATGTTTCATTCACCCTTTGCTTCTATTCAGCTTCATTCAACGGGCATCTTAATACAGACTGATCAACTAGAAGCTCGTTTTAAATGAATAGCGGCCAACCGCTTCATACTTTTCAAGATCCGCCCTTCCCGAAGCCTGCTGTACATTTATATAAATTTAAGATGCAGATTTTTGCATCTCCCCTCTCTGTGAGTGTGGAGTTTGTATGTTCTGACCATGGTCTATGAGTATTCTCCAGGTACTCCAGATTCCTCAGGGTTAAATGTAAGTTGCTTTAAATTGCTAATAGAGCATGAGAGTGTGTTTGAGTATAGGTGTGATGAACTGCCTTATATGGTATACCCCTAAACCCAACCCTAACCCTAACCCTAGCCCTCCCAGGACCCTGATCAGGACAATGGAGATGGAGATTAGGTTCATATACTGGGGCGGGGCCACAAGGACACTGACCCTAGCTGAATGCTGATTGGCCCCTAGACTGCCCCTTCCCCTGTCACTTACCGAGGCAAAACACATCATCGGCTAATGAATGATAAGGTTGGCCTCTTTATATGAATTATGACCTCCATCAGGCCCTCCACCTTAATAAATCCTAGAATGGATGGATGGATGGCTGGCTGAAGAGTTTTATTTAAACATACAGCTGTGTACCTTACTAGTACTGCAATAACACACAATAAATCTATTTATTGCTACTTGCAGTGTTGCAGTTGCCATGACCTTCAGCAATTCACCGGTATGGGCACTCACCCAACTTTACATAAGCTGTAGTCCAGCCTTCAGAGTTTCATCCAGAGGTGGATAGCAGCAGTCCAGAGAGTAAAAATCCAGGCCAAGATTTTGATCCAACTAACCGGTTGAGTATAAAGAGTCACAGTCACAGAGTATTCATCTGGTTGGTTGAAACAAAATCTTGATGTGGATTTTTACTTTCTGGACTCGAACTACCCACCTCTGGTTTCATCCATGTCTTTGCAGCTCCAGTCCATCTCTCACCCACAAAGCTCCCATACTGTACAACAAAACACACTTTCTTGTATGTTTAGATAACGAATGCCATCTGTCCTCCTGTATTCCAGCATGCCTCTTGCAGTCAGAGCTGGTCAACTATGAGCGAGTGAAGGAGTACTGCTTGAAGGTACTTAGCCACCAGCAGGACCACTTCAAGGCCATGTACCGCGCCGGCATCGCCTACTACCACCTGGGCGACTACGAGTGCGCCCTGCGCTACCTGCGCGACGCCAAGAGCCGCGAGCCCACAGGTAGGCTGCCCCGACACCCCCGTACCGTCACCATGGGAACCTCCGAGGGGAAATTCCTTCGAGGATGACGTACGGAATCGTTGACTGCCTTGTACTTGCATATCCGCTCATAAAACGTGGAATTCTGTTGTAATGTCGGGCAGCAAATACAGGCCACGATAAAATGTTGATGCTGATTGCATGAGATGGTCTAGTGTAACCCTCCTCCTGCTTCTTTCTTTTTCTATCACTCTCTCTCTCTCTCTCTCTCTCTCAGACACTAATGTGTTGCGGTATATCCAGCTGACAGAAATGAAAATGAACAAGAGTGGCCAGCGGGAGCGAGAGAGTGGCAAAGAGGTGGTGGGCTAAGCTCCACACCCCATTGCTTCTAGTCTAACCCCTCCTTCTGCTTCATCTCCTCCTCCTCCTCCACAATATCCTAATACTCACTATTTCCTCCTTTTCGCTAAACACCTGTGTCCCAGATATGCTGGGACCATAGCGCCACCTAGTGACAGTTGCAAGCCACGCATTCATTCTCCCATCGTCCTCCTTATGAAACACACACACACACACACACGCAAAAATGACAACACAACTCCTGTCCCCCTGCTTTGGAACTATTCGCCCCAAGCTCGTTTTGAGCACACACGCAAGCCAACAAAATAAACAGGCGAAAATTAAAAGGGAATTACAATCGCATCCATTTAGCGATCGAACACGAATTCAAAAGATAAAACCTTATGGGACGTTGTTCAGCTATAAAAAAAATGCGAACACAAATATGTACAATGTTTATGTATGTAAGTTTTCTTTTTTTTTAATGATTTGAAGAAAGACGAGAGGCCCTGGTCTGTGGAAGGGATTTAGGTGCCAGCGCGTGACTTTACGAGACACACAGTCGCTCGGGAAAGAGGGACGACGCAGCGAAAGAGGCCGCCATCTAGGCACACGTGAAGGCACTGTGCCGAATTCGCGCTATGATTCACACCTACTGAGAGAAACGGTGCCCCCCCCCCGCCCCACCTCAGGCTATACCACCAAAACAAGAGGGGAGGAGAGAGGTTATGTAAGGATGTAGCCTCTGTCTTTTTGATACTGAAAAGAAGCTGGCCTGTTTTTGATTAATACTATTTTCCTTTTCTTAACTTTCTCGTTCAAGTTGGGACTGTTTGACCTCAAGGGCTAATTCTGTGTTTGTAGTTTCTTTGTTGGCATTTAATTTGACTCGATGTTCTTGATGTCATTAACATTGTAATTCCGATACTTTTTTCTAAAGGAAGTACAAGCATCTCTTATTTTATGGTTCTGAAGCAAAACTCTGTTCTTATATCCTGATCTGTCATCGACTGGTATATCCTGATCTGTCATCGACTGGTATATCCTGATCTGTCATCGACTAGTATATCCTGATCTGTCATTGACTGGTATATCCTGATCTGTCATTGACTGGCGTTTGTGTTTATTTCACACTTGTCCCACCTTGAGATCTGTAAACATGTCAGACGTTTCACCATCATAGACCCAACCCTCCCCTCTCCCCACAATGACCAGTGTGAAATCAATGGAGAGGGTCTCCTGCATTAGTGTTAGAATGAGGAATCTCTCAAACCCCACATTTCGCCGCTCTGCCGTTGCCCGGTCCGCCATTCAGACTCACGTTGTGTGAGGTGTCGGCGAACGGTGGACCACCATATAACGCAAAGGTGTTGTCTGTGCAGAAAATACTACTACTAACATCTGAGACTGTTCATTAATTTGCCTGTCAGAATCGTGTATTTGCCATTTGAGATTCTTATTTATTTTTTATTTTTAAAGTAAGCTGTCAATGTCACAAATGGGTAAAATATTAGTAAAACTGTAATACTGCTACGACGAGATCGGTATTTAGACTAATAACATTAAGAGTAATAGAGTTCATGGGAGTTCATATTAGCAAAACTATAGATCTAGTAAATAGCCAAGTCTAATCTCTGACCCTCCTGCTTCTCAGGGCCAATGGGTCCAGCTGGGGTTGGGGCACACGGCTCATTCATCCACTATATTGTTGGGAGGGGCTGGGGGGGGATTCTGATCTCACACTTCTTCTGGTGCTGAAGGTCCCCTTGCCCCAACTCACAACCCACCTAGCCAGACTTACTGTGGTTTAAAAAACAACGGGGAAAAAGCATTTTTCTGAGCTTAGCAGCGCTTGAGGGGATGAACCAGGTTTCGGTTGCTAGACTTTTGCTAAAACTGACCTGCATGGCAATGGATTAGAAAAAAAAGAAAGTGGAACCTGCATGGTGCCTAAGTAGCGCACGCACAGGGGGGGGGGGGGGGGGGGGGGCGCTTTAAGAGCTGCAAGAGGCATGCTGGGATACAGGAGGACAGATGGCATGTGGCCTTCCCCAGCGGCTCCTCATCTCTACACTCCTCTTGTTCTCCTCATCTGTGCTGATACACTCCTTATATGGGGGGGGGGGGGGGGAGAGAGATAATGGGTGGCCCATCAAGGGGGCGCTGTCATGACACACGGACTACGGTCAATAACGACACCCCACTTATCGGATCAGGCATGACAAACAAAGCGTGACACATTTACAGCCTCTGAGCAGAGTGAATAAATACACAATTAAGCAAATAAACGGACCAGGCTGTTTCTCGCTGACTGGAAATCGTAAATATATCACTTTAATCCAGAGGTGTAATGCAGATGTGTAGGAGCTCGTTTCCTGCAGAGGAGCCCCGGGACGCCAAGCCTGTTGACATGCAATGTTTTCTCTGTGTTTCTTTGAGGTTGGAACCATGTTATAATGTTGCCACGGCATCGCAGAGATGTACTTACGTGTCATCTGGTGCATTAAACTGCTGTGCCGCTCTCTCTCTCTCTCTCTCTGTTTCTCTCTCTCTCTGTGAGGCTCTCCCTGTTTCTCTCTCTCTGTGAGACTCTCCCTGTTTCTCTCTCTTTCTCGCACTGGGAAGAGAGCAGTGGGGGACAGTAGCACACTGAGGCCACACTCTCTGTCTCCCAGGCAGGTTCAGATTGTCCGCCTGGGCCCCATGCGAAGGCTCATGTCTCAAGAGTTGTGTCATAAGCCCCGCCCCCTATCCCACCCATGCCCCGCCCCTTCTCAGCCCCACCCCATACCATGCACTGCATCCCACCTTCCCACCACCGGCGGTACCTGCATCTGTGCATCGAGAGAGGCTCCCTCCTGTCAAACCTTTGGTGGATCACATCCAGGCAGAACAACAAAAGCACAACTCGAGAAATGTAGACAAGTAAATCGCTGTGTGTTTTGCTTTGATGTCACTTTCCGTATATGTTTGTTGACCGTCCAAGTGAGGATTTTTTGTGGTTTTAAAATTATTGTAAAAAAAAATGGTTGTGCTGATAAAAAAAAAAGCTTTATTTAATAGGACTGATTTATTTATCTTTGAAAAGTGGTGGAGGAGAGAGTGTAAGGGTCATAAATATGGCAGGCACCTTAAGCCAACGTGCATCCCTGGAAGCTTCCGGAAGCTCGTCCACTCTGTGTTCTGTGTGGGACCCGAATCATGTCTCTGGCCTCCAAGATGCCATACGGAAGGCTGAGGATCCAGAGCAGGCCATCTTCGAAGTCTCCAGAAACAGACTCTTCAGGGGATGGACATTGATCCTGCGTTTGGTTGCGTAAAAGAGACACTTTTTTGAGAGACTTTTGAATGGAATGATGCGAGACCCAAAAAAAGAAGGGAAAAAAAACGAACCACATGCCTGGGAATGCGCTAGAGATTGGCATTTGAAGAAAACATGAAATAAAGTTTAAAAAGGGAAGTAAGTGTGCTTGGGTTTTGTATCACTTGCAGTGAACATCACTGGGAATTCTCCGGTTCTTTGGTTAATGTACAGAAATTTGAAGACAAACACACAAAAGTTTGCTGAGCTAAATTTCTGGAGGTCACTAGCTTTACTGATTTTACTGTAATTTTTCAGCGTTCAACAGAAACCACCAGAACCTTTTTTTTTTAATAAAAAAGCAGACAGCAAGCATTGGGGCACGGTGGCACGGTGGCACAGTGGTCAGCACTGTCACCTCACGCCTCTCGCACCAAAGTCTCTGCCATAGTTCCATGTGTGGAGTTCTTAGGTTCTCTCTGTGTCATCGTCAGGTTTCCTCTGGGTACACCAGTTTCCCCTCACAGAACAAAACCATGCTGAGGTTAATTACAGTTGCCAAAGTGTGCACAGGTGTGAGTGAATGCTGTGTGAGTGTGAGTGAATGGTGTGTGCGTGTGCCCTGTGATGGGTTGGTGCCCCATCATGGGTTGTTCCCTGCCTTGTGCCCATATGCTGTGGTTACAGAAGATGGGTGATTGAAAAAAAAACAAAACTAATTTGTCAGTTAACGATATATCTTGTGGGGATGAATCTCTTAGATTTTGTTCTTAATGAGATAACAAACAAAGCCTTAAAAAACCACACACACTCCAGAAGGAAAGGCTGATCTTCTGGGCACGTTAACCTCCAGTATGTGCCAGCAAAATATGAAGCACTTATTGCCGCCACCCATGTTGATAAACATCAGCACTTTCTGGATCTCCATGTTAAAATTTTGGGAACATCTCAGTTTCCTGCTGTTACCTGAGCAGCGGCACCTGCCCTGTCTCCGTGCCCCAAATTTCTTTTCCCAATTCTGCTGTACCGTCATTTTCCAGTCCATTGCCCCCTTCCGTTCAACCCCCATCCACCCCCACTTTCCCTCAATTGCCTTTCCTAAGGTAGTAATCTGTGTGTCACTATTGACTACCCAGCTTAACGGCTTCCTGTTGGGGAAGGAGGCAGGGAGAGTGACGGGGGAGGAAGCATCAGTGTGTATAGAGGTTGAGAATCTTCTGAGGGAAGATTGAGGTTGAGGGGAAAAGACAAAGTGAGGATTTAAGATAAGCTGGAGCATTATGTGTAATAGTACAATGCACCGATTACAGCTCCTTCTGTTGATCAACAAGAAAACACAAAGGTTGGTCCACTATGTTAGGTGTGTCTGTGTGTGAAGGCATGGGTTTGGCGTTTCTGGGGCCCCTTCAGGGCCCTCCACCCCCCAGTTCAGTGACTGTTTGTGGCCCCATGCAAACGCGTGATCTGAGTGCTGGTAAACCGGGATTTTACCTCAAGCGAGGGTAAAAGACGATGACTAGTGCGTTCTTCTGTGCCTTGAATGCATTGCACGCTGAAAGTCCACTGAGTCATTCTCCACACAATTCTCCAGCTTCGAACACATTTTGACGAACGTGTCCTTTGTCTGCATTTTTAGTGCCCTCACCTCTCGTTCTCTCACCCCCCCCCCATCGCTTTCCGGCTCTTTGTCATGGCTTTTAATAGCATTGCCATGGAAGTGAAGTGGTGTTGCTAGGTAACGAGCTGGCGTCCGGACGAGCGTTCGAGTGGAGGCTGAGCCACCAGACAGAGTGGTGAGTGTTCGTGCGCCCGTGCGACTGCCCGTGCGAGGCGGTGTGTTCGCGGCTATAAACAACGCCGCATGTGTGCGATTTGCACATTTTTTGGTGTGTGTGCATGAGCGTAGTGAACCCGTGGGAGCGTGTGTGATTTTCTCGATGTCTTTACTTTAAATCTCTGCATTTTGTCCTTGGGTTACAGTTCAGCCACACACACTATCAGTCCTCAGTGGGGGGGCTTCTGTCGTGGCCGTCGTGACTGTCACACGTTCGACACGATACAGTGCAGACACTCATACAAAACAGCACCCAAAGTGAAACAGGGCTAAGGGTCATACACATACATACCATATAAATCCATATTGCCCATTTACATCAAGAATCCACATCAATGTCAACTTAAATTATGAGCTAAATCATGAAAATATAAATTACATCTATTGCAGCACATGCAACTAATGCAGCATGTATTTAGCCTCGGAAACATATGAACACAATCTAATCTTGCAACCGTACAACATTTTCTCAGTATTTGGTAACCACACGACTGGCAATTACACTTTTAAGGTTTGGCGGCATCTAGTGGACAATTTATTTAATTGCAGTTGAAGTGGAAGTGTTCTGACTTGGGTTCAGAAATGAAAATCTATACACATAAAACGGTAAAAAAAGACATTGGAAGCATAGGAAAGTGGAGTAAAGGGTATTACCTATAGTCTGTGTACTCCTGAAACGTTCCCGAAACCAAGCTGTTACAACAGAACACCCAGCTGTACAAAAGGGGTAAATCTGCAAGTCACTACATTCAGCAAAACGTCCGCAAGTCATTTCAGCAACACGGCGTACATCAGTGGTCCATGGTCATTTATTCACACCTTGACAAGTAGGCTAATCATTCATTTATGATCAGACAGCTGCACTCAATGACATCATTTAGCCTCAAACTTCAGAAGCATGGATCCATGCGCTTCATAACGGAACATCTGTCAATTGTCCAACAAAGGTAGTAGCTTGGTTTGTTGGTTGTTTTGCTTTATATATATTTACATATATATACACACAAATATATACAGATAATCCCTGGGGAAAGGTTAATGAGAACAATAATTAATTAAATCATTTTAATAATAACAATAATTATAATAAATATTCTGAATGTTCTCAGTCAGGGAGAAATGTAATCAATTCGATTTAGCTACCTAAAATCAACACAGTTGTGAAAAATAAAAAAACATATACATTTCAAAGAGATGCTGTACATTGTATGTCTGCTACTCAGTAATGTATCTTTTTAAAAAAACAGGAAAAACAACAAAAAAAAATGCCAGTTCAACAACACAGCTACTGGTACGTAATAAATAGTTTCTTTGCTCTGTCGATGGCGTGAGGTACGAGATGCACACTCCTGTGCGGACAGCGGGAAAAGCTCACGGCATCCTTCACTTCTGCGTTTGCAGTACTACAAGACGAAAGCGGGCACGTTTGTTTAGTTTGTTTTGTTCGTCCATCTCTCTATCTCTTCCCACTGTATTTTTGTTTACTTTTCGCTGACTGATTGAGTCCGGAGATCAAAGGGAAAGGCCCGGCCTGGCTTTGTCGTCCAACAGGAATGCCTGATTTGCAGTGCAGAACAGGTAGTGCGAGCTGAACGAGTGAGAGCTGTTTGCCGCCCGTAGCAACGTCCTGTTCTGAGGGATACACCCTTTTGTTTCCCTCTGTTTGCTTCTCCTCATCCTCCCCTTATTGTGCTGCAGTGGGACCTTCCACCTCACCTGACCTGCATCGCCAAGATTGAAAAGCTCAGGCCAGCCGCAGAGTCAGGGCCACGAATGAGGTTTTAATCCCACCTTACATTTAAAGCCATTTCCACTGCACAAGAACTGTGTCATGTTGACGTCATGACACAGAACTACATCTGCTGAGTACGGGCTACAGTAGCACGACGGCTCGGACTTTTATGAATGGCTGCTGGATCACACGCATTTGGAAAGTATCTAGAACAGAAAGTAAAATGGGGTAGTTTGGGGTGATATGTTGTGGCTCGCTGGCTCAGTAAAGCGGTGGTTGCATGTTCTTCCTGTGATGTGATGCTTTTCTCTGGCTATTCTAGTTTTCTCCTGAATTCCAAAGACATGCATTTAGGTGAATTGCTCGTAGTATGTGTGCGTGTGAAGCAAAGGTTCCCAAACCGGTTCTTGGGGACCCCCAGACAGTACATGTTATTGCTGGTTGGGAAGCTGAGAGGGAGCAAAAATGAGTGGTGAAGGAGCAAAAACATGGACCGTCTTTGGGGTCCCTGAGGACCAGATTGGGAAACACTGCTGTAAAGGACTGGCATTGTGTCCAAGGAGATCCCCTGATCTACGCTCCCCCAATCACTCTGACAGCCCCCCAACCCTATGTAGTGCTTGGGGTGGCGGTGGGTGGGGTGGCGTGAGAGTGAGGATGCTGGTGCGCTAGGAGAGGTGCTGCCCGCACAGGTTGATGCCCGCCTGCTGGCCACACAGCGGCACGGTGCTGTCCTGGCTCTGTCCCTCCATGTCCATGTCCAGCAGGGACGGCTTGGCTCCGCCCACGCTGCTGTCCCCCGAGCCCAGCGGGCTGTCGCAGCTGCTGCCTGGCGAGGAGCTCAGCGTACGGGATAGTGACGGCAGCTTCCGGGGGTCCATGCGGGGCCGCGCCGGCGTGGGGCGTGGCCGCGGCGCAAACTCAAGCGTCTTGGGCCTCTCGGGGGCGCCCGTGTCCTCTTGGTCCAGCGTCAGGGGGGGCGGAGCCTTGCGGCGAGGAGCCACGGGGAACAGGGTGGAGGGATCGGGCAGCCGGGGTATTTCCAGGGTTTCCTGAGAGCCTGGGGGAGAAGGAGACCCCCAGTTACAGGAATGATGTATTTTAATCTCTCCTAGGATTATGATGCAGTGCCACTTAAAGAGCTGATAATTAATTCCAGGGGAATTAATAAAAATAATAATACATGTTTAAAGCAAGTATCCATGATATACTGTCAAGGGGTGATACTAGTCTGTTTTCAAGGTGGGGGGGGGGGGCAAAAGTAGGGCCCTGATTCATAAAGAGGCCCAACCTTATTTTATGTTTTGCATTGGTGACCAGGGAGGGGGACCAATCAGCATTCAAGGGGGGCAGTCCTCATGTGTACGCCCCTGTCTAGGGAAATAAAAACCAGGAGGGACTTGTATCCCGCCCCACAGTATTAATTTAGCTTCAGTAGCCCCCCTCCCCAAACAATAGACTTTTGGTCAAAGACAAAGAGGTTACTGGTTTCTTTTCTTATAAATGGTTTAAAATTGTTTCGTTAATTATTATCTGTCTTGCTGAAAGTTAGTCGTTTGAGTTGCATTCACCAGTCTTCTGTGTGGGGGAGATGAGAGGGGGCAGCGGCGCGCTGCCATCTGAGGGGGTGCGGCGGTGGCCCAGTGTCTGCGTGCGCGGCCGGATGGCGCCGTCGGAGGGCGTGCGGCGATGCCCGCGGCTGTGCACCAAGGCGGCTGACACGTGTGTGGGCGTCAGCGACTGATTGGGCTCGCGCTTGAAGCTCTCCGCCCGCAGGTCCAGCAGGGGGTTGAGAGCGGGGGCCAGGACGGGCGGTGAGGGTCTGATGGGCGTGGCCTGCGGCGGGTCGTCGGGGTCCGAGGGCAGCAGCGACTTGGTGGAGTTGCAGTCGGACAGCGAGGACAGCGAGAGCAGCGTGACGGAGGGCGACGCATCCAAGCTGGGTAGGATGGAGTCGTGCCCCCGCCCGTGCGACAGCGACAGCGTGCGGCTCGGCGGCGACGTGCTGCGCCGGAAGCGGCCCGCCCGCTGAAACAGTCCCTCCTTCTTCCTGCGCTGCTCCTCACGCAGGTCCTGCTCGTCCTGAGACACCTGAAAACCGGAAGCGGGACACTGTCACATCACGTCACCACCTGCTTATCACAACCATTCGCTCTCTATTTCCCGTCTGCATCTTATATGCCAGACGGGGGCACCGGAGGGGCATGGAGACCCTGGCACGGTGTTTCCCAATCCGGTCCTTGGGGACCCACAGACGGTCCACGTTTTTGTAAGGAGCAAAAATGTGGACTGTATGGCAGGGACCTTGGAGGGAGCAAAAACATGCACCGACTGTGGGGCCCTGAGGAGTGGATTGGGAAACACTGCCTTGGCAGGTTCAGGAAGCCCAGCACTTGACAGAGTTCTTGAATACACAAAATAATCAATAAAATTGGACAGGGCCCAAGGTGACATTTTGCCTGGGGATACTGAATTTATAGGTATACCCCTGATTCCAGACAACCTCATGTGTAATTTTGAAGACAACCATAATTTCTATTGATAATTAATTATATTTATTGTATTTGTACATAATTCATTTGTACCTGGTTACCTACCTAACTGCATTTCATTGACTCTGTACCTGTTCTCAGCACAACGACAATGAAGTTGAGTGTAATCTAACCTAATTTAACCAGTACCTGACATCCAGCTCCCTCACTGGCCAGTAGGGTTAGGGATGGGGTTAGGGGCCTTAATGACATAAACACACCGCACCAAGCAGAAAATATCAAACGCTCAGCAGCTTGGTCAGCACGCCTACTATAAATGGTTAGCGCCCAAATGAAACCGCTTAACTAAGTAACAGCGTGCCGTAGAGAGTGACCGGGAGCACATTTTCAGCAGATGGATGCAAGATCCACAGCGGCTGACAGCGACATTTTGTTTGTTCCTTCTTTTGTTTGTGTTTCGTTTGATTCCCCGTCGCTGCCACTTCCAGGCTGCTCGCTGTTAACAAGAGCTTCTCTGAACAAATAACTGCTAAGTCTGTTCTTTGTTTTTGTCCGAGCGGCTATGGGGAGATGAGCACCCCCCCCCTCCCAGCCCCCGCAGTACCTGCGTCCTGCCCAGCTGCAGCAGGTCGTGCCCCAGCGCCACGGAGGCCAGCACGGACGCACAGCCCAGCAGCAAAATGTCGCTCTTCTTGCGCTGGCTGCAGCGGCGGGACAGGTCCGGCCCCCCCCATGCAGTTGGGCCCACCCCCACCCAGGAGGGGCCTCCGTCCTCCACACCCCCGTTACTGTCGGCCTCCAGGGACATGGAGGAGTCCTGGGATTCGCAATGCTCCTCTGCAAGGGAGGGATGTAGGGAGATAAACAGAAGCTGACCACGGCAGGCAGATAGATAGATAGATGGATGGATGGATGGATGGATGGATGGATGGATGGATGGAAACAATAGAAATACAAAGAATAGCAAAGGAACAGCAGACGAACGGAAGGAAAGGTGCCAACCTACCCATTTAAGGAAAGGTGCCAACCTACCCATTTCGTTGAGGCTGGAGAAGGCGGCACACATGGGGACATGTTTCGGGGACTTGCCCAGATTGGGGGCACTGGAGGACCACTGCTTGCATCCCTCCCCCAGAGACTTCAACCTGCGGCAGATAACATAAACAAAAAGTCCAGAGCGAGCCGTCACAGCTTTGATCACAGTCACCCAGCAATGCGGAAAAGCAGAAATGAGTATAAACGTGTATCTCTGTAGGTGCCGAACAAATCAAATAAGATATCAGTTCCTGATTTCACTTCCTATCTTTACTTTCGTGTTCTCAGTCAGGGACTTGTGTTTAGGTGAAGGGTTGATGCTGGAAGCCCAGGGAGGAACACTGGCACGATGATGCATATAAAATTAGGGTCCTCCGTCTATGTCGAACAAAAGTTAAAACGCCACTTTATGCTTCTGTGCACGTGAAATGGAGGCCTGGCACAAGACTGTTATGCGGAAACAGCACGACCAGGAGAGGAGAGGTTTAAATGTCTTTTTATCGTGCGGCCTGCAGGCAGTACGATTCTCAGCTTACTCTCAGCTTAATTGATACGTTTTGGAGGGAAAGTCTAAACTGGCCAAGAAAAAAATATATACTCGTTGGCGTTTAATGTCATGAGGCCCCAAGGGCACGGACTGATAATGTGTCATAATAAACTGCATCGAGAGTGACAGTCTGCAGAAATAAAGGATGCACTCATTGGATGGCAGCGGCAAGTACAGCACAAAGCCCTCGGCTGTGACCCGCACTCAGGGGACGGAGACCACCGGGTGAAGACCAACCTCAGGGGGGCTGTCAGCTGGTCACTACACGCAAACCACCCACGTCAGCGGGTAAATGCCATCGATTAGTCCAGCGGGGGGAGGGGGGGATGTGTATGGTTGGGCCCCCCTTTTGAGGTGATGGTCGCCATGTGCTACCCACGAGGGGAACCTCTTAAGCCCCATGTTCCCCAGGGTGCTTCGAGAACGTTAACAGGATTCTTCATGGTTCTGGGACCTGTCCTGCTGCCGATGCCTGAAGTTCACGTCCATGCAGGGGTGGAGCAGGGAATTTTGGGCCCATTGACCTTGGGTTCCCACAGTACATTCTGCTAAATTTAGGGGGGGGGTCACCCTCAGATCCCTTGAAGTCCAGGGCATGAGAAAACATAAGCCACACCCCCTGGTGATGACCTTTTCCCCCCTTTCACCCAAAGAAAAACAAACCTACATGTTCTGTATACTTGTAGGTGCTGTACAATTAATTTCGATAGAAGATGCTTTTATCCAATGAGAATGCAGGGTCAAACAGTTCCTGGAGCAGTTGGGGCATAAGGGCCTTGCTCAAAGACACAAGGCTGCAATCACTCTGGCAGCCCTAGGATTTGAACCACCACAGTCTGAGCACAGTTTACACCTTGCTTTTAGCAAGCAAGCCCAGTACCTTTTTTTTCTATAGTGTTTGAATGCTCGGGGGGGTTGGGCAGCCAGCTGACTTAGGACCCCCCCAGGTTTTATTTTTGGTTCCTCTCCTCCATTGTCATCTGGCTTTCATTAGGTGCTTTCACACCGAAGTTCCAGAACCTGGTCCTGGTTTACAAAGGCCCAGGCCTGTCTTGACTTGGAACTTTTGTAGTTCCTGACCACTTTTGTGTGTCGCTTTCACACTGCACAACAGGAACTGGGACCTTTATGCTAAATAAGCAGGGTAGACGCAAAAAAATTTGTAGGTCAAACTTCACACATAATTTCATACGATATTTTGTTTTCCTTAGAATAAAAAATTATGTAATGTTACCCTGCTAATAAGCGCTGGGAAGTTTCATTGCCAGTATGGTAATATTAGACAAAAGTATATTGGTTAGTGATCGAACTTTCCAATGGAAGAATATGGAGATGCAAGCAAAAAATGTATTATTTGATGCATTAAATGTAATTTGGGTACAAAAATAGTCCCATCTGCTCAATTTTTGCTCCACTAAATCTCTTTTTCTGCACTTCTGTGTCACTTCCAAGTTAGCAGCGGTGCTTGTGGTCAACCAATCAGCAAGCTCTGGCTGTAAGCGCCAACCAATCAGCAAGCTCTGGCTGTAAGCACCAACCAATCAGCAAGCTCTGGCTGTAAGCGCCAACCAATCAGCAAGCTCTGGCTGTAAGCACCAACCAATCAGCAAGCTCTGGCTGTAAGTGCCTCCCTAGTATTTCATGTTCGAACAAATAGTACCGAGTCTGGAATAGGTACTAAAAAAGCGGACGACACACTGTGTTGCGGTACTTGCACATGCCTCTGTTTGTGCCATTTAGTTTGGAGGCTGTGCTGATCCCCGTCTGAAGGCTGTGCCCTCAGGAACATGAGCCAAACTCTGCTGGGCACATCAGCGGCACAGTTACGCGGCCTGTTTCCACGGCGGCGTATCCGCGAGCGGCACCCCGCCTACCTGTCCTCCCCGCCAGGCCGCTCCCTCTGGTGGGTGGAGCTTGGGCCCCAGGTCCGGCCCTTCTTCTTGTGCACCGTCAGGTCCTCCTTCTTACACACGGCGCTGCGGCCCCAGGTCTTGCTCCCGTCGCTGGGCGTCACTGTGCGGCACATGGCGCTGTTATTATACACACAGGGCACGGGCGAAACCCTCTGTGTACACGAAACGAAAACACCAGAGGCTGACCGGACACGCCCCCTTCGGCCAGTCGAGCTCATCTTGCCTTGGTGCTGAGCCATGCAGGTAGTTAAACCTGAATGGCCCAGAGCCATGTTGGGTTTCACCGAGTTTCACTTCTCATTTAACGGCATCAGTGTACCATGGCTGTGACTCGATGTCACAGGTACAGAGCGCCTTCCTGTCTCTGTCCTAGTTTACGTATTTTTGTGCATCTCTTTGTGCTTCAGTGTTAGCAATGCTCATGGAAAAGTGCTGCACGTTTGGATGTTTGCTTCTCCAACATATTAGACCCACTGCTTGTACACCCCTGCTCACTCCCCGATCTCAGACTCACAGCGTATGGCTCTTAGGCGGGGAATGACTCCAGGGCTGGCTGGAGGGGTAGTGCTCTCAGAGCCTTGAGTTTTCCTCTTGTCTACACTGGGAGAGGCCTGTACTGTGATTTTGTGCTCAAATCCTGAAAGAGAAAAACAGGGAAAAAGACACTCAGGCACTTATAACCTCCTAATTGGCTGGATGTACACCTTGGCAGATGCAATTCCCCCTCCACTCACCAGAGGGCAGACTGATGCGGTTGCCATCACGGCCCATCTTCAGTAGGCGGCTCTTCTTGAAGTGGCCCTTCCGCTTCTTGACCTGCGGCTTCTCCTGGTACATCTGGTGGATGATGATGTTCAGCTCACGCTCCACGATGTCGATCTCCCGCTCGGCCAGCTCCTGCTCGCGCCGTCGGAGCACCTCCTCCTGCTCACGCTGCTCCTCAGCCGCTCGCGCCAGCGCCTCCTCCCAGGACCGGAGCTCCTAGAGATCGGAAACGAATGAAGGAGACAGTGGATCAGAGACGTGAGACTGATGCTGCCTTCACGGAATTATGGTAAATACAAGTTGCCGACTTGGAAGTTGCACATGAATGCCCCCTCAACTCATACTTACAAGTGTGAAATTCTGAAAAAAAATTGATACCTCAGTTCCCAAGTTGGGGCGACCTTTAACCTTTCAACATAGCAAACATAAGGACCCTTTCAGTAGTAGGTGGTACATATTTGCTTATTTTTAGCAACACAACTACCGTTGTAATCTGTGTACACTTTACCTGGTATAGAACAACACTACTTATCTTTCTACCCAAAGCAAATGGACCGCAGCACAGTGCTAAGTTATCAACTTCACATCAGCCCACGTTAGCTAAAATTTTGTATCCACTATTTTTTCATTTTGCTCTGACAACAAAGCATTCGAATATGACGTACTCGTGACTCCGACTTGTGGGAAGTAAGATCTTCCAACTAGAACATGAATCAGCATGAGACACAGGTAAACTGAACATGAACTTCTTCAAAGTTCTTCATGGATGTTTTCCATTCCATATATGAGGTAAGTGCTACAGGTAGAAAATTTCTACACCACACACAGTGAAAGAAACCTTCTCCAGACACAGTTAAGACACCCCCCCCCAGCACAAGTGTAGATATTCCTTCAACCCCCTCCAGCTGGACCATCTCTTCCCTAACCTTCTCCTTGGCCCGCAGCTCATCGAACATCTGCTGGATCTCCAGCCTCCAGTCCTCTTGTAGCGAGTGGAAGGACTCAAGCGGCATCTGGAACATGGCCGACTGCTCGATGGCCTGCAGCTGAGACAAGATGCTGCTGAAGGAAGGCCGGCTGTGAGGGACGGGGCTCCAGCACTCTGATATAGGGAGAAGAGGAGCAAAGAGGAAGAAATTAAAGGGTTAAAGGAGGAAGAGATGCTGAGAAAATTACATTTAACCAAGTGTCTAATAGCGACTGACATTCCAGGAATTCCTAAAAACAGTTATTCTCACGCATCTCTACAAAATGACAGAGATTTAACTAAAATAAACCCCACAAAACAAAGCTTCTTACAGAAAAAAACCTACATTTATTTACAATATCTGTTGATTATTGTGTATTGTGTCAAACAATATGACATTTAAGATTAATTAAAATGCTCTGCGTTCATTTAATAAACGATCATAATTCCAATTTGGCTAATGTTCCTTTAAGAATCGGAAACATCTGAACAGGAATGAATACTGAGAATAAGAAGAAACAGAGAAAAAGAGCAGAGAAGAAAAAAGGTAACAAAATCAACAGAAAATACGCAAAAATATACAAATCAGGACCAAAGTGTTGACAGTATCTGTTATCCAAAAAATGTCAGCTACAAATCTATCAGGTATGGGCAAAAAAGCAATTCTGACAGTTACACATAATTCCTCCCACCACTAGGGGCAGCAAAGCTAGATAGTGAGATATATTGTGGATATTGGAAGGACATAGAGATAATAAGTGCATGCCGATCATCAGTGTGCATAGAGCAAACATTCTTACCTTCCAGGAGGTGAACAAATGGCTCTGGACAGGTGGAGGGGATGGGTAGGGTTAGCTTACTCATAGCTACTCCATAGGCTACTGCGAGGGCATCGATTTCCCGGTAAGGAACCTCCCCTGTCAGCAGCTCCCATAGCAGCACCCCAAAACTGAGAAATAGAAATAGAAAACTATAGAGCTGCTATTCAGGCCAACCCACAGTAAATGCCTTGTATGGTCTCCTGGTTGCCTCTTCCACCTAAGCAGATTATCCCCCCCCTGTCTCCTACCTCCAGACATCACTGCTCTTGGAGAACAGGGACAGTTTGATGACCTCGGGGGCCATCCAGGCATAGGTGCCCGCTGCGCTCATCTTGGTGGTGCAGTGCCACTCCCGTGCCAATCCAAAGTCTGTGATCTTCAGAGTCTTGCCAAACAAGTCATCCCTCTCCATTTGTTCCAGAATTAATACTGCAAAGGAGACAAGAGATTTGTGGCAGGTATCAACAAAAAAACACACATACAAACATATATTTGAGCTCAGTTTCATGTGACTATATAGATTGGAAACACTAGGTGGTCGTCCAGATGTTCCCTGTCATGTTACAGCCCTCTTCAGGTGAGTCTGTGCAGAACCTTTACTTGAAATAACCCAGTCTGAGATGAACATATACCTCAAAACTCATTTAGGAAAAAGACCCTCATCACATAAGCCTAACACCAAACAGAAATTAAGTAGCTAATGGTCTGAGCAGTGCAGATGTATTCATATTAGCATTTTGTACTGCTAGCCTGTTTTATAAGGCTTGGTTTGGGGTGGGGGGGGGGGGGATTGGGTTGGACCCGGTCTTTTGGAGAGAAAGTTCAGGGGCGATTCTAGGATTTTTTTAGGTGGGGCCGTAATTCATACATAGGGGCCAATGATTATGTTTTGGTTCAGTAAGTGACAGGGGGCCAATCCAGGGACCAGTAAGCTTTCAGCTGGGGCCAGTGCCTCTGTGGCCCCACCCCTGAGGAGGATCCAATAGGACATGGTAAACAGAACATAAAGGTGAACATGCGGTGTAAGAGAGATGCTCACTACTGCACACAAGCAGACCTCTGTAGCCAATAATCAACAGTCCTTTTTGTTTTCCAATCCAGCATGACATACAAAACCGAAACCCAATTTGCATGCATGTGCACGCGTGCAGTTTGTTAAAGCTTTGTGCTGAAATATCCCACCAAGCCACTGAATAAGCTATCCTTCAGGAAGCCTGCCATGCATCATAAGATGACAATTACACGCAACACTGGTTAACAAGTACTGCCTTATCAGGACAGTAATCTCAGTTGCTGCGGGGTCCATGATTAACATAAGATAACCCAGCGATTTCTCTTGTCATTACTCAGGTTAAGTTGTTTGGACATCTCGCTGTTTCACACGAGGCTGCATCTCACATGAGGCAGTGATGGAGCTTCAGAGCACTCCTGGGTACGGCTAGATGTCTGTCCCAGAAGAGTCTGTAGGGGTAACTCAATGGAAATAATTCAAAGTGAGGGTTCAATACAGGGACGGCATGGAAGTTCAGTAGGTGATGCTGCTGCTTCACACCCGCAGGGTTACAGGTTTGAATCCCACCTCTGATCTCTGTAAGTGGAGTCTGCAGGTTCACCTCATGCTGTGTCCATTTTCTGTAGGTAGCTTGGTTTCCTCTTCCAGTTCAAAAGCATGTAATTAGGCTAACGGGTGTTTCTATATTGCACTGTGACAGACAGGCATCCCATATAGGACGAGACTGGGATAGACTACATGTCCCCGTCTGACCCTGCCTCAGGATAAGCATTCGGGTTGGATAACTCTGCCACAGGTCTTTTATTTGACACATATTAATCCACTTCAAACTGACAGAAAAATGTCTGTCAAAATCCACTGACAATTTCCGTGCCACCACATCCAGACTGATTTGTGTTTTGCTTTTCAGAGAGAAATCCCGCTCTTTTGACACACAATGAGACAATTGACAATTATGATTCGTAGCCCAGTGGAGGGAAATTAGTTTGCATACAAGGTCACCTGTGTTCATGTGCCTCACAGGAGAGTAAGATGGGATATGAGATCACTAATGAATTCCTGTGTATCTGTATTCAAACTTGTACAATGGTCAAATAAAGAATCATGACTAAACAACTGGAGAAAATTTGTGTTAGGTGTTTGTTTTAGCACGGATGAGGTATGCAAAAAAGTTATAATAATATGCTGCATTTTTTCATGCATCTCCGACTGAGAGAATGTTAAGTATGGTTGTAATGACAGTTCGGGAGTTTTGCTCCAGTCATCTGAGAGAATTATTAACGGCGCACTGACCTGAAGTCATTTTCAACATGTCCCGGCTTACTGAGTGATCCTGAGCTGGATTTCATACTTCCTCCTACATTTCCGCTTGCGGACAGGCTATGGAAATGTTTTGAGTGTCAACAGGGCTGACTGGTTTGAGGGGAGGGAGCGTGTTTGCCCTTATCTCCAGGCCTATGCAAAGAGAGCTGGAGAGTCCGCAGCCTGCGTTTTGTTTGATCAGGAGCCCGACCAAACCTACCTACACGGGTGTGATTAGTACAGCTGCTGCGTTTAACTTGGTTACTCATATGGGTGTTTTCCAATACCAGTACTCAGGACTGAAGAGTGCGTGTCCTAAGACATGACATACTCGACCAGAATTCATATTTTTTGGCTATTGTCACGGCAAAGCACAAAATGGCTTGCATGCTCTAATCGTCAGCAAGTAGTTCAAGAAGCCACATTAAACACAGAAAGTGTTTGTTTGGTTAATCTTTGTTTTGTGTTGTTACTATTATTGAAATTTTTTTTTTAAATGTTATTAAATGAAATATAAATGAGATGAAACAACAGGGGTGCACCCTATGATACCACTATTCAGCATATTTCAAGGTTCTTCTCACTGTGCTTACTGGAATCTAACATGACAGAATACTGAAGCCAATTCAAAAATACAAATGTAAATGTTAATGTAAACACTACATAAAAGGCAGTGTACAATGGCAGAACGGTAACACTGTGAGATAAGCCCTTTTCATGCTAATGAAGACGGTTGGGTTCTTGTGCCAAGCACCCTTCAGAACCAACATGGAGGTTCTGCTGTTTGCGAGCGCCGTTTTTCACTAGCCGTTAGCATTAGCTGTTAGCATTAGCAGGTGCGGGGGGGGTCTCGTGCCCATATAGCGCTGCCAAGCTCCGGTCTGTGGAACGGTGCCAGAGCGGGAGCCAACGCAGCACTGTCTTCAGAATGTCTTGACGGTAGCGAGAGACCCTTTGTGGTCTGAGGCGTGGAGCCCACTATGCTGGAGAGCTGCGTATCCGTTAGCGTGCATGCATTTGTGTTTCTCTGTCTGTTAAGCTGAAGTATCATCTGACGCAAAAAAAAAAAAAACAGAGAAAAAGAAAATAGGGGCAGGCTGCTGACAATGATAATAAGCCATTGTCCCCCCTCCCACTGCTAGCCATGCCCCTAGAACCCCCTCCTCCCGCCTCCTCGTTTTCCAATTCACTGCGTCTATCATGGTGAGGGACAGCTGTCTCCCTAAGGTTGTGTGTGTGCGTAAGAGAAAGAGGGGGGGAGCAGGGAGAGGCAGGGGAGATGTAAATCCAAAACTTGGGGGGGTATCTTTGCGTGGGTTCTCTTGCAGGCCGTACGCGGTGACATGGCACATGTTGATAAACTGGTGATTGGATGAGACTATGGAGCACCCTGTTTCTGGATGGGTGGGGCAGCTACCAGCACACTAGGGGGGTGGGACTCTAGTGTTATGTAACTAAAATTCAGCTGTCGTGTCAAACCATGTTGTCATGTCACTACGCAAGTCACAGCGATGCCCTAGAAGGGTTTAATTAGCCCATGATACTAAACAACAACAGCTAACACCTGTTTTCACAGCTACCCCTTCACAGGAAACACATGGCCTCAAACATGCTCAGTTCTTCCGCTGCCTGATGCACCTGGGATACCAGATCGGTGCTGCAAAATCACACCAGATTCATAGCTGCCGTTGACCGCTAGGCTGTCATCTAAAAGCTGACCGTTAGGTACGAACGTGGGCTTGTAAGGTCATCAGCTACCTGGTGGTTGTACCCTAACTTAACCCTAACTTAACCCAAACTGCCCCAGTAAAAACACCTGGTCGTATGTAACACTGGCTAAAATGGCTGAAGCTGATCTGGATGAAAACATTACCTAAGAAAATAACCGTGATGTTCCCATTCTCCGCTGTTTTCTACAGTTACACTGCGATGCCCTCAAGTGTAGCACGGCTGCCAGTCCCAGGTCCTCCTACTCTGTTCCTTTGTTTGCCACCCTCTCCCAAGCAGCCCCCTCACCTTGGCTCCTTACAGGTTTATAACATTTTTCGAGATCCGATTCCAGTGTGACACGGCCAATCTGATCCTGAAGGAGCCTTCGGAGCAGACTGCTTCAATAACAAGGGCTCTGTTTAATGGAGACCCCCCCCGCCCCGCCGGGTAATCGCTCTCCCCCTGCCTGCATCTTGCTGCACTTTCTGGTGGAAAGTCGATCGGAATGTCAGCCGGTAAAATACTTGTAATGTTGAAGTGTGCAAGGCAAGGCTGTCATCCATTCAAACATCCTCCATATCAACAAAAACATTTGGTGATGCTACTTTTAGGCGTTATGCTCCCATCCACTGGAACAGCCTTGCTGAGGATAGAAAAGGTCCTGAAAATAGGGGCATTTTAAAAAGAAAACTAAAAACTCATCTTATCTTTTATGTCTTGTGTTCTCATGATTTCAGTATTTATGCCAGTAAATTTTTTTTTATTTGATCCTTTTATTGATTTTTATCATTTATTTTTTTAGTGTTTTATTATTTTTTCTTTTCATTATGTATAAATTCAGTCTAGAATTTTTTTTATAATAACAAAATCAAATCACTTGTCACTTGTCACCGGTACACAGGTACAATGTTTGTGTCAGTCGCCTGTAAAAACACTCTGAATTGCATTTAAGTTGACTGACACCGCATCATATCCGGCTCTGGGTTATGGAGCGACCTGGCGCCCATCCCAGGAGGCAAAGGGGCGGGCCGAGAGCATCCTGGATGGGACACTAGTCCGCCGCAAGGCATGCGTTCACGAGGGCCGCTGTCGCATTAAGCGAATTTACTCTGTGAGTTCAGCCGGCCGAATGACGTCAGTGCAGACAGAAAAAGCAGCACAAGGGAAGGCAGGGTAAACACTAACCATGCCATTTGATGGTTACGCCCCCTACTGGTGAGAGTCAATCAAATTCACTTCTCTGGTGTCCCTAGGCTAACATGGCTAGGAGGAGCTGTTGGTGAGATCCGCTGGTCACCGGGGGGTTAGGAGGGCGAAGCCTCGGACAGCACATGCATTATTCAGTGGGGGGTGGGGGGTGTTGTTGCACGAATGATTTAAAATGTGACATCGTAGAATGGGAGAC